GATCTGGGGGAGATGGGGGAGATGGGGAGATGGGGGAGATGGGGGATACGGGGGATCTGGGGGAGATGGGGGATACGGGGGAGATGGGTATTTTGGGGTCTATGGGTGCTTGGAGTTCTCGGGGAGCTCTGGGAGATGTGGGAGATCTGGGGGATCTGGGGGTTCTGGGAGATCTGGGTGTTTTGGGGTCTGTGGGTGCCTGGAGTTCTTTGGGATCTGTGGGACTTTTGGGGTCTGTGGGTGCCTGGAGTTCTCGGGGAGCTCTGGGAGATGTGGGAGCTTTGGGAGATCTGGGAGATCTGGGATCTGTGGGTGCCTGGAGCTCTTTGGGATCTGTGGGAGTTTTGGGATCTGTGGGTGCCTGGAGTTCTCGGGGAGCTGTGGGAGCTCTGGGAGCTTTGGGAGTTTTGGGACTTTTGGGATCTATGGGAGATGTGGGGGTCTGGGAGATCTGGGAACTTTGGGAGTTTGGGGAGTTTTGGGATCTGTGGGTGCCTGGAGTTCTCAGGGAGCTGTGGCAGTTTTGGGAGTTTTAGGAGATGTGGGGGCTGTGGGAGCTTTGGGACTTTTGGGATCCGTGGGTACCTGGAGTTCTCGGGGAGCTTGGGGACTTTTGGGACTTTGGGGACTTTGGGGATCTGTGGGTGCCTGGAGCTCTCGGGGAGCTTTGGGACTTTGGGGACTTTGGGGACTTTGGGGATTTTTGGGGCTTTTGGGACTTTTGGGATCTGTGGGTGCCTGGAGCTCTCGGGGAGCTTTGGGATTTTTGGGATCTGTGGGTGCCTGGAGTTCTTTGGGGTCTGTGGGAGCTTTGGGACTTTTGGGATCTATGGGAGATGTGGAGGTGTGGGAGATCTGGGAGATCTGGGATTTTTGGGGTCCGCAGGTACCTGGAGTTCTCGGGCAGCTTTGGGACTTTTGGGACTTTGGGGACTTTTGGGATTTTTGGGGCTTTTGGGACTTTTGGGACCTTTGGGATTTTTGGGGCTTTTGGGACTTTTGGGATTTTTGGGGCTTTTGGGACTTTGGGGACTTTTGGGATTTTTGGGACCTTTGGGATTTTTGGGGACTTTTGGGATTTTTGGG